AAAAAAAAACAACTCAAAAAAGAACAGAAAAACTCACCTGCAGCTACAACATCAGCATTTGCAGAAGGATGTACGAAATGGAAATTCTTTCCACCACATTCTGGAATAAAAAACCTGCATAATCAAACAAGAATCGTATTTCCAGCATAGACAAAGTACCGCTAGCATTTCACAATTTACCTATTTAACTCAGAAACTGGGGAACAAAATGGTAGGGGCGCTTTAAGGGAAGTTTTCACGTTTTTTTAAACATTTTCGCCATAAATTAAACACATCAAAGCTCAATTATTGAACAGGGATTCTATGAGCTTGGCTTATGCAGAGCTTTAGTGCATGCCGGAGGCAATATCTAACCCACTCAGACAAGTTAGGGAACCATTAGTCAGTCTCAAATTGCGTAAAACTATTACACTAAAATGATTGCTGGCAAAGATCTTCCTGGAATGAACTGGTTTACTCTACCAAGACTTATTACTACACGACTATCATTTCTTCTCAAGAAAAATTACGGCAATATAAAATCTAAAGAATGTTGCTCGAGTAAACAAAAAATACCATAAAACACAATAATAAACATGATATAAGAAAATATAGGCAATCAAGAAGCATAACATCCTACCTCCAATGAGCTTCGGGAATGTCACATAGGTGTCCAGATTCTTAGCTACATTTCGCCAGATAGTTTTGAATGTAGGGACAGAACCCGTGAAGTTTATGGCGCTAAAACAGCATTGATAAGAGCCTTATATCTCGTATAGCTCATCACACTTTTCTATATCTCCATTAAAAGCCTTGGTGAACGTCATATGCATAGAAAAAGAAGACTGCATAGAGAGAAAGAAATACCTCAAATGTTTGCTTGTTGTGATCATCTCACCAAAATCAGGTCCATCCGATGGGAGGAACGAGATCACACCTGGAGGAATGCCTGCAAAATCCTCTTTAGTACTACTATACAATATTCACAGTAGGATAACCATGGGGAATAATCAGAAATAGTATGTTTTAAAAATATGGCTATGGAGTGCTCACCAGCTTCTTCCAACAGCTCATATATGATGTAGTTACTGAGAACCGCTGTGTCGGATGGTTTCCATAACACAACATTCCCCTGAAGTGGAGTGTTTCATTGCTTGAATTACAGCACAAGTTGTTTCAGAACATCAGTACACTCACCATTAAAGCAGGTGCTGACGACAAGTTGCCTCCGATCGCAGTGAAATTGAATGGTGCAATAGCAGCAACGAAACCCTTCAACAAGTGATCAGAAATGATTAGCATGAACCTCCTGATAAGTAAATGAGGCTAGCGAATAAGTATACCTCCAAGCCTCGATAGAGCATTTTATTTGTGCTGATTCCCGTGCTGATTGGTTCATACTTTTCCAAGTCTAGGGCGAATTTCGAATTGAAACGGAAAAAGTCGATCAACTCACAAGCAGAATCAATTTCAGCCTAAAAACGGAATAGTGCAGACAACTAGCAATACTAGGATGTTAAAAAAACGAGCGAGCAAGTTAAACATCTTAGCCAAGGAAAATTGTGGAGTAACCAAAATAGAAAGGATCCGTTGTCATTTGCAACAGTAGGACGTTTAAGAGAGAACAGGAAAGTAAAATTTCTTAACCAAGTGAAATCTCGGAGCAACCTCAAAGGCTCCCATAACTGGGCAAATGGGCCACTCCCCAATACCGTTTGCGGCTCATCAGAGAAAAAGCAAGTTGATTTGAAGGCAAAAGAGGCGAACGTTCGAAGTGATCCTTTAAAAAGTGTTGCCCCACGACAAGACAAACCTGAACTATGCTTTTTCCCTGTCCGAGCATGGTGGCAGCATTCAGCTTCATACGATATTTACCGCCAGCCAAATCGGCTGCATGGAGAAGAATATCGGCTCGCTCTCTAAAAACCAACTGACTAACTGAACAGAATATTTATAAGCTCTTACACAAAAATAAAGAACACAGAAATTGCGTTCCGCCTGGCGTAGCGCCGCACAAATATTGCCTTACTTTAATGGTTTTCTCTCCCATGGAATTCTTGCTTCAAGGGCAACATTGATTGCCTCAAGGATCTGATCCGCATTCGCGTATGAATACTTTGCGACAGTAGTTTTATGATCGGAAGGCTGAATTGCACATGGATACAAATTAAAAGAACTTTCCAAAGAATAATTGGAAATTACCTTTTTGATGAAAATAATTAGTAATATATGAGAAAATTTGGTGAGAAATTGTCACGGAGCTGCTAACAAAAGCAAATGCTTACTTCATATGGCCTTCAGACATAAAAGCCCTCAAATCACATATATGTCCCTATAATGAGGTGGCAAATATAGAAATATTCATTCTTGGGATGTTCTCCCCTGGTTTCAAGGGAAACTTGACTGGCATCAAGCGACAAAGAAGAGCGCAGCAGTGTTGAAAAACAAAGAAAACTTCTCTATAGATCTCGATTACGCGCAAGGCAATGATACCGCGTTCTTGTGCACTCCCGCGGTTTGACTTTGCCTACGCCCGTGTAAATAGGCAGTCTGTGGCAATCTGATAAGAGAGTTCAGCGGTAGACCGTGTTACTTACAGGTACTGTAGTGAAGTATGGATATGGCGAACTAAGATCATCATAGATCGAGGACTTCTGACTATGCATATAAGAACTAAATACTATATATAGGAAAATACCAAAAAATAGAAAAAGGTGAATGCGAAAAAATAAAAATAGCATGTCATATACTCCATACATACAGACAAAAACTACTTACCATGACTTGATTGCGTATGGCTTCGTTATGAATTTTCTTGTCGCCGATCCTTATAGGAACATCTGTGGGCGTCTGGAAAGGGACATAAAGAAGCACTCACATACATCCTACACAAAAAGCAACAGGGAACATAATAGCTGTAGCCGAGGAATTTATTCTCCTACCTGGCTCATCCTCTCCAATTCCATTTCTAGTTCTTGCCTTTCCTTGCTCCCCTTTTTGTATTCCAATATCGGTTCATTTGTCGCTTTTCTCATGAACTGTTCAGATGTTAGTCCACTAAAATAAACAGCTCCACTTTATGCTTGGCGAAAAGAAATTCCCAGTAAAAATAATAAGAAGATTTAATTACCTGTAAGTTGATGATGCTCTGTGAGCGTTATACGCAATAGAGCCTACTCGTCTGGTTAGCATGTTGTTACCTGGAAGCTATGGAATAAGTTAGGTGTCCTCCACGAGCACAAATTTGTTGTAGGCGATGGTAGCACGACAGATCCCTTCTCTGAGTTCCTACTGCAATGCGTATCTTACCAAAAGGCGGTTGTGGTCACCTACATCTCTACTGCAATTCTATTGCAGTAACCTCAGCACAGTAGTCCACAGTGCTGAATATTTTTAGGCCCTGCGAGGTTATTAGGTGGAAGAAGCTTAATCTAGTCCTTTCGAGTCACTTTTGAGACTCTGAAGAAGGAGATACCGTCTGGACGTCAGGCCGTCCAAATTGATTAGTATGACAGTTCTCATCTAGGATCTTTAAAAGGGCTAGAACCTTACCGAACAAAACTTACTAGCTACCCGACCGCTGCAATTTCAAATCGAAACGGATTCAAAACCTTTTCTTGAAAGTCGAGAATGCTTGGTGGTGAGAGGACCCAAGAGGGGCTTTACTCCAGACCGAAAATTCCTGATACTTCTGATCGACTACGCTTCACAGGCTACATTAATGGTGTAAATCTTTTTGACGAGGTGGAAGTTCTTGAGGCGGCGAAATCAAGGAGAAACGACACTCGGTAAATATCAAAATAAACAGCCCCTGACACGTGATGGCTTATCATCGTGAAACGCACGACAACACTAATGTGATTTGAAACATAAACCATATCACCACAAATTGATGGAAAATCAACACAATTGATATATTCGATTGCTGAAAAACTATTAATATCGCCCCCAAGGTCACTACGAGACAACAAAGGTTCGTGGGCAACTCGTGTAGAAGACGAGAGAAGCAGGAATGTGGTACAGAACAGAGGCAAGACATTCCTTCATTTATTGACATAAATATAACTTGGGGTTAGTTTCTCGGAATCCATTGGACCGTGTATACCTGAGGATAGGTCACACAAGCGGTTCTAAATGCTGTAGTGGCCCAAATTTATAAGTGTACCCCCAGGTGTCTTTGGTCTGTACGTGAAGGACCATGGATTTTGACCGAATACCTACCATCTAACACGTGCTCTAACAGAGCTAATTGGTCGGTAAATAGTTTAATCGGCATCGCCAATGGATGGTAAAAGGGATAGTTTGTCGGAAAAGGAAGTTCTTAAGGCGGGCTTGACATCGTCGGGGCAGCTAGTGGGTCTTCTGGAAAAATGCCACAAAATGAAAATTTCTTCCTATTCATTTTAAAGACGAAGGTTATTCGCTGAAAGCAAAAAGGCGAAGCAGTAACCCGTGTTAGACGACTACAAAAAGATCAAGGTCCGAGTATGGTTAACGCAAGGGTCGCTATATTCTAACAGTGAATGGAAAGGTTTCGATGAACCAAAAGTAAAGACTAGCAGCAGGTGATTAGCAGACTTTCTTTTGCTTGCCCNCCCGTTGAAAGCCTCCATATGACAATTACCTTTTTGTACACACTTTTCACTAAAAGGCCTTCGGAGAAAGATATTCTATACATGAAATGAGCGTACTATGGAATGAAAAGCCAAAAGGCCACCCATGAAGCATCCACTACTAATGTGAAGGTGAGGAAGCGATTGCAAGATTTCAAATTAAGCAGTCCATGTCACTTTTCTTTAACCCCACGTGAACATGAGCGAAACAATGACGTATCAATAATAAATAGCAACAAAAACAAAACGGTAAGAATTCCTGAAAAGAGATATTACTTGATTACTCGCCCTCTACTCCTTAAAATCAAATGTCAACCAGTTCTGAGACCACCGTACAGACATCATGGCGCCTTCTGCGGTAAGATGCCGATAAAACGACTTATAACTAGTCATTACTCATTCCGAAAAGGATCTGTTTGGACCGATCACAGGCGAGATTACAATCTTGGAAGCTTCATGGAAAGTCTAAACCTCTTCTGGAAATTGTAGAAAACGCAAGAAAACTTTTAGGAAGATCAGTGGAGCTCAAAGAAATAGACTACTTATGACCTTAAAGAAGTGAATGGTTCGAAAATAGTGAGCTTGGTTTTTGTGAAAGGACGAGNAAGGACGAGCGCGTGACACGTTATTTTGCAAACATTTATGCCAAGATTGAGAGGTTATTACTGCACTTAACGCTCGACCAAATCACTCATTACCACAGGTACTACTACTGTTACCCAGGAGCTTGCAGTTGAAGGCCACCTTTATGATCAAAACACTCATAAAATGTCCCAAAAAGCCATTTGCTACCAATGTTTGACCTTCCTTATCAGTAGGTAAAACTGCATCAGTGAAACATAGAAACATAGGTACGAAAACTCAGTACGATACCGAATTCCTACCGTAATTTCAGTCCTAAACCAGCACTTACTGAGACTTCAAAGGCTTATTATTTTTTGATGTCCAGTAGCTAAATGGCATATCGATCCTTGGTTCTACTCCACTGATTTATTACATATTTATTCCACCTATTTTTCCGTCACTACTAAATTAAACAAGCAGTAGAACCATTACAGTACGAATTTAGAACTGAATTGAACTTCAGTTTTTTACTGTAACTAATGATCTACGGAACTATTCCCACATACAGCATTACTAACTCATTCCCAGCATCTAAATAGCCGTCCTCTCGAAAAAAGAGCAACGTGGGGTTGCTGAGAAACCAAAGAATGACGGGTCGAGCTCTAGCATCCAGCAAGCAAAAGGACATCTAAAAAAGCGACGTGCAAACAAAACCCTTCAAACAGGATCAATTACCCAGACAACACTTTTAACGACCACGAAGCTTTACAAAAAGGTTGACAGCACTCGACCGGCGATCTTCACGATGCCATGGCGAGAGTACAATTAGCAAAGCGCATTCGATATTGGGCTTCGGTCTACTAATGAAATAGCATGGCAGTTGAGGAGAGTACAGACGAGGGAAAAGCGCACACACTCACATGTGTCGCAGTTGACGTGTGGGGCGACCCCACGACAAGTTGGGCTGGAGTTTCTCAGGAAATGGTTGAAAGTGCTTCAGTGAGGTCGACAGTAGCTTTTCTGAGCTTTCTGAGAAAGCGAGGTTTCCACATCGTTCTTCCTTTCCCCTCCCCACTATAGCCAGTCGCCCTCACCTTGTATGGGCGGGCGCGTATGAACTCGCAAGGGAGAGCAGCACTTCTACTTTTGGATGGACAAGTGGTAGTCTTCTTCTTCATTCCTTTAATGGCCAATAATTATTACACTGAGCCACTCTTTTTGCCGTCTACACAAGGGTGTTCGAAAGCTCAACCTTAAGGCATCCATCCAGGTGGTTAAAGCTATGCAGGACTTTGGTCAAAGCTCATTGGTTACCCCTCAGTCTTTGAAGGCAGCGTTTGTCCAGGCATTCAGCCCTCCTGCCAAAAAAAAAATAATTGAGATCTTGAGCCTTTGAAACCTGTATGGCTATAGGAGTGATCCGATAAATCACTTCCAAGAAGCTTTCTAACTTTCAAAATCTCGTTTCGTTGCAGGCGTTGGGGCTCAGTAGTAATTTTCCAATGAAAATTTTCTATAAAACGATCGAATCTTCATCCAATACAACCTCGTCACTTCTTCCGCCAGTACGGCTTTGCGCTCATACTCTAAAAGTCTGCCGCTTTTTTTTACACTTTTTAGATTGATAATTTCTTGCCCGGTTGGAGTGATGTGGTGATTTCTGCTTGCTTCTGAAGATATTTGAAAATTCTGAAGCTTCATAGAATCTTGCATCCTACTGCCTTTTTCACTAACTATGAACCTGATATTATATTTGAATGAGGTGGAGGTAGATAGTCATCAATTGTAAGTCACTCTCACAGAAAGCAGTATTTACCAGAAACAGAGAGAGTGAACTTTAAAAATAATACGTCTGAGATATCAATTTCAGGTGCAGGGCAGTCATTAGCAAGAATGAGTACTTACGTCACGGCACGGAAATTGCAAACTGTGTTGTCAATCTAGTCGTAAGTACATACATAGGTCATATACCTGCTACTCGAACCGTCGTATACTACATGAAGTTTTCATTTTTCAGACCTACCTGCGTAATCTTCACTGATTGTGTTGTTCATTATTCTCCTTCGATATTTCCCTCTTCACAAGTCTTCCCGGATGGCGTTAATTCTCCTTTTGACAGCCGAACATTTCACGGTGATTTGCGAGTCCTCATTCTTTTTCTCCATCTGAGCCTTTTACAATATTATGTTAATTGCCTTCAGGTCTTCTGAAAATCGCTCCTCAGCTGCGAACATTCTCAGACCATTTCCAAACATCTGAAACAAAAAGTATAGTACAGAGAACAACTTCCATCTGTATAGTAGCTGCTTTCACAGTACGCAACCTCAAATGGCGTTTCCGGAGCAATGAGTTTACATTGTAGTACATAGTAATTTAAAAGCTTAGATTTAGAGGACCCATGTCTCACTACGAAAGGAATTTCGTGAAACTATGGCTTAAAAAATGATTTCCGCGTTTAAAAGGTCTTTGAGAAATGTGAATGTTCGCCCTTCAAAAAAGGTATATCAGAAGCTTCAACTATAGGCTGTGAGCGACTGCGCTATGTCCTTCCGATGAGGTACTATGCCCCACCAAGTAGTCAAGTGTAGAACCACAATGACTGGGCCAAATGCCGTAGTCCATAAGTTCTTTGGATGTTAAACTTGAGTAACCAGTAACGGAATCCCAATCCTGCAAGTCTTTACAGAACTGCGTTCACGTCCGCTTAGGCCTGACTAAAAGAGGAGGGATCCTACCAAGGCCGTGAATATGTGGCGCTGTCCCAAATGGGGTTAACATTCAACAGGAATACCCTAGAAAAGGCGGTCTAATTATTTTTAAGGGAGTTCTTAGCCCATGGCAATTCATTTGCAAATTCTTCGATACCTACAACGAGAGAAACCAATGAAATTACAGTATCAAAACGTGCTATTGGTTTGTTTAAGTCGCAAAACTCTTTACGCATGGTCGCTTCCATTCTAACCCACCTAAAAGCCTCTATCCTAACAGACGAGGCGGACCGTTCACTCTCTCATTCCGATACGACGATAGAAAAAGAGCTCTTTCCAAAGCTTCCCTTATTTTGATGGCTTTCTGTTCATGCTCCGTTAATCATGCAAATGATGTCTAAAAGAAAAAAGGCAGAATGCATGCACAGCCCACCCTGAGCGATAATCGCCATAATTGCCAGGGGACTTTCCACGTTCGTATAGCCTGATATATTCGATGTGTATAAGGAAAAGCTTTTCAACGTTAATCAATCCCGTCTGAGGGATGCGCCCCGCATTCGACTTCCATTCAGAATCGTAGTGCCGTATGTAGTGCTACACAATGATTTTCGATGACCTACAGATCCACCCTTTTAACCCCCGAACGAGACTGGTACCAATTAACCGACCCCGAAGGCATGACAAGCTTGGTTAGCTTAGGCGGATATCAATTCGAAATTCGAACCCATGACTATCTGTAATACGAATGAACAGCTCTCGCCNTTTTTTTTTGCCTAGGATTTCAGAACAGTAGATAGAATAGGGATTCGTACCTCAATCACTAAAATCCGAACAGAACAAACCAGACATTGAAAAGAATGCTTCATTACTACTCACTAAAATTCTGTCTGACAGTCATAAAACAACTTGAAAGGGAATGAAATGTGCTTGAAGACTAACAATGCTATTTAATAGAGCCATTAATGGTTAGATTGAGACTAGAAACTAACTTGACTGGAACTAATACTCAAAGTGAAAAGTTAAGTTATACGAGCAGCACAAAACTTTTGTGTTGAGTCGAAAGTAGTCGATATGCAGCATATCTCTGAGGGCAGGTCACAGGAAGTGAAACATTTTCGATTGTAAGTGAGTCGTTTTTTTCCTTATGCTATGCTCATTCCATTGATGGATAACGCCATTCAGTGAGGGGCACATTGGTCTCCTTAATAGTAAGTGGGGACGTCCATCGGAGTCCATAATGAGGACCTCCTGCTTTGTCGTTTGTTCCTGGAAGAAGTTTCATCATGGAACGGGTTATCCAACAATGACTAATGTTGTTTATGAAAAATCAGAAAAAAGAGCTCAGACTGGGCAGCGCCTCACCAGACATGCGGGCTCCTCCGAAGGGCTGCTGTCCTACAACAGCTCCAGTGGACTTGTCGTTGAAGTACATGTTTCCAACAGCATCGCGCAGGACAGTACGAGCACTAAACGCCACAATAAGATGTGATTACACAACTCAATCAAATCACTTGAACGTGCTTCTGCTTTTGCTGCTTGAAGAAAGACTTCTTGCAAATGTTCTCATAATTTCACGTTCACCAAAAACAAAATCTGTAGTAAACATACTGATTCAAGAAATTCTTGTCTTCGGCGAACACGGCACCCGTAAGTCCGAAAGGAGTATGATCCTAAAAAAGATGGTGATAAGCACCTTTTTGTATTAAATGTTTTCAGGCAAAGAATAGCAGGGACCGAATCCTTCAGTATTTGTCCCAAGTATCAACCCCTCTCCCTTACACTAGGAACCTATAGGAATTCCTTATCACAGACAGCTGCATGATTTACGACAGACGGGTGGCTCATCTGGATAAAGACAGCGAACAGCGCCAAGTTATCAGATATTATGAGCTTCATGACGCTTTTTATCGCCATCGTTAGTCAAAACGATTGCAACTAAATTCACGCCAACTGCGCGTCGTAGGTGCCATTCACTAACACTATCTACACAAATATGTCACTTTTCTCAACAGGCCACTTAGGTTGTACCGAAACTTCGCACGAGCGCTGTTCGATTATTCATGAGTATCACCGCATACACCAACTTAGACCTAGAAATGATTCACTTTTACACCATTACGTCGCTCTCTACGAACCCACACTTCTCGTCCCCAATAGTGCCGTCCTGGTACATGTTTGCTAGGACCAAACTTCAAGCGATTTTGAAATTAGATTGAAGAGACTTCTTCCTTGCCGTAGAAACAATATGATCTCAAGGTATTACTGATCTGTATAGTTATGAACTTACCTTTATGGAGCTAAGAAGTGTTTCAAGTTCGTTGTCTTCATATACGTATACGGTGAGAACAGGACCAAATATTTCCTGAATAAATTGCGGTCATAACAGAAAATCCTGCGGGAGAAACTTCACGATACTTCGTGTATGAGTTTGCCCTTCAAATTGGTTGTTTTCACAAGGGTGGCATCAATGAAATATCCTTTGCTATCATCACACTTTCCTCCGAGTAGAATTTCGCAACCGTCAGCGCCAGTTTTCGCATAGTCTACATATATTTTCTCTGAGAATCGCATAAGGTGCTGATAAATTATTGAAAACTTTTACCTATATAACTTTTAATGTTATCGAAGGAAGCCTTATCAATCACAGCAGAGAAGAAAATTGAGCCGTCTCGCACCTGCAACAGACAGTCTGACCAATCAAATATTCACTACACTGGCGATAATTTGAGTAGACGGTTTCATTGAAATACATAAAAAGTCATTACTCACATCACCGATCTTGATTTGTTTATGAATTTCTGTAATTTTCTTGAGGATTTCTGGCCATCGGCTTTTCGGAACATATAGCCGTGAACATGCAGAGCATTTTTGACCACCGTATTCCCACGCGGAACGAGCAGTACCTAAACATTAAACCGATTTGTGGCATCCAGAATGCCTCGAACTCCTCCCAGCCAAGGGTTCATACATTGTGCATACATGATGCAAGTACACCCCCGTCATAAACTTTTATAACTTTGCTAATGTTGGACTATATCAGGCAGTTGGAGGGAAGAGAATACTATTCATACAACAAGCGAGACAACTGTCAGCTGAAGAAGTGGTGACAGCCAACCCCATTATGTAGGAAAAAACCATGAAATAGCGAGAGATCAATACTCGCTTAGGGTGTACCTCCACCTTATTCTGGTCCAGGAGTTAACTTATGCTCTTTCTTCCTGCATTCCTGCTTGTTTTATACACTACAAGATGAATCTCCTATACTTCCGAGCCATAAATCGAAGTGAAGGGTTGCTCGGGTGAGCGGTAGATTCTCTCAGAGGAGCACGTCTTGGAGCATAGTTGATTAAAAAAATCATTATAAATAACTTACAAGCAGCCACGACATCTGCGTTGGCCGACGGATGCACGAAATGGAAGTTCTTTCCGCCACATTCTGAAATGAGTAGTTGTTTCAGTTTAAACTTATTACGGTTTATTTGTAAACTGTAACACTGTCATAAAAATAGAAAATGTGTGGGGAAGTCGAAAAGGATTGAGGATATTCTGCCAAGCGGCCCGAATTCATTAAAGTGCGCTGGAAATATCATGCACGCGGACTCGTATCAACTAGGATTTGACAATACTAGGAATCCCTATAGTAAGGAAAAGACCTTACAATGGTGGCTGACCACCTCTATCTAGGCCGTTGAAAAAGAAGAAATCGATTAACCAAGGTATTGGGCAACGAGTTAATAGTCCTTTTTATCAGCACCGTTTCACCTCAAAAAAAGCGAAATTCAATTATGCAGAGCCGAACAAGACAAAAAATCTCAGCATAAAGTAGAGGATCGATTAGGCGCCACAGATTAGGAAAAATATTGTAAAAACCCATTCTCGTCAACACGATGGATATGTTATGTAGTCCACTCTTGGAGGAAACAAAGACAAGATTCGATTGGGCATGTCTTCATCGGAGGAGAGAAGACGGTCGACATTAATAAGCGATATAGGCTTACCTCCAACCAGCCTTGGGAACGTCACATATTTGTCGAGATTCTTAGCAACTGTTTGCCAAATATCTTTGAATGTGGGAACGGAACCAGTGAAGTTAACGGCACTTAAAGAAAATTTTGAATAAGATACCCTTACCAAGCTTTATTGGACATCTACTAATATGGAATTGATTTCCTACCGCTCCGACTTGACAAATGAGAAATTAGTTACCTCAAATGTTCGCTGGCAAGAATAACCGGACCGAAGTCGGCTCCCCGAGATGGAAGATATGAGATCACACCTGGTGGAACACCTGAAATGCATTCAGATTGAGAAAATTCCCAATAAATCAAAGAAGAAGATTCAGAGACGCAAAATTCTATTTTTATCATTTACAACATGCAAAGAATATAGAATCAACCCACTTACCAGCTTCTTCTAACACCTCATACACTACATAATTGCTCAGCACCGCTGTACGGGCAGGTTTCCATAAAACAACATTTCCCTGAATGCAGCAAACTTCATTTTTAGATTGAGCTGCGGTTTTAATGCCTTCAGAACTCAGCAGGCCCACCATCAAGGCCGGTGATGACGCCAGATTACCACCAATCGCTGTGAAGTTAAATGGAGCAACGGCCAAGACGAAACCCTGCAATTAGAACCAAAAAAAATTCAAAACCCTCCACTGCCAATTTTGCAAAACTCCAATCCAGATTTATTCAAGAAAATGCATTCAACATACCTCCAGACCACGGTAAACTAATTTGTTGGTGCTGATTTTTGTGCTAATCGGGTCATACTTCTCCATATCTAATGCGAATTTCGAGTTGAAACGGAAGAAGTCTATCAGTTCGCAGGCAGAATCAATTTCGGCCTGGAAATGATTTAGTAACTTCGAGATAATATTTTCTATTTTTTGAACTATGGCTATGACACTTAAGAAAAGGGGGTTACGAGCAATATAATTGTAAATGAGTATGATTGTTGGTGCGTACCTGCACGATATTCTTTCCTTGTCCGAGCATGGTGGCTGCATTTAATTTCATCCGATATTTACCACCAGCCAGATCAGCAGCATGGAGAAGTATGTCGGCTCTCTCTCTGAAATAGGGAATGTGCAGGTAAAACGGATGAAAGTGTATCACACTCTTCAGGATAGTGGACAGAAAAGGAAACTGAGACAAAAATAGCTATTTACAGTAGTTTGCTCTCTTACTTCATAGGTTTTCTCTCCCATTTTACACGTGCTTCTATGGCAACTTCGATGGCTTCATGAATCTGACCGGCGGTAGCGTATGAATACTTTGCAAGAGAAGTACGATGGTCGGATGGCTAAAAGGATAGACGTGAAAAGAAGAACGATGAAGTCCAAAACTCGTCGGAAATCTGGAAGCGGAAAGAACGATAAGATATCAATATTACCAAACCATAACTCCTGAAGGGAATGCTAGCAATAATGGATTAATTCAGTCTCATGAACCGCGCAAAGGATATCGAAAGGAGCACAGCTACGACCACTTGAAGTGGTCTTTTTGCAGATCTCTCCAATTCTACAAATCCAAACCTATCATTTCCATACGCCCACGGCAAGAGAGAGACGTTCGGGAGGGAACATTGAACGCTGGTTAGTGGTCCTTCTAGAAACTTAGCCAGTACTACTGAAGGTGAAGGGGTGGCATGTGGTGCCGGTGACACACATCTGACCACAGAACCACTTTTATTACCTTTATCTTCAGTATTTCCCCAAAGCTAACACTGCTCAGGGAAACTAGGTACTTCAACCCTGAGGTTACTGGCTGAAAAAATATTTTGGCTTAACAAAAGTACTTTCACGCCGGACAGAGAATCTGCTTCAATGATCAAGATAAGGAATGCACTCATTATTGTGCAGCGATCCACCAAAAAACCAACCAAATAGAGCGCAAGAAGAATTTGTTATCTTGGTTAATTTAGACTGACTGAGAACTCAAACCTCTTCCGAAAAAAAAAACCCTACAGTTCAGTAACAATGCATCTTTACTACACAAGAAAAGCAATCTACGATTCCGAATAGATAACTAACGTTCAAAAGAGTGCGCTTTTCGGAGGTGGGATCAGGACGTAAATTACAACGAGACCTACGTTTGCAGTGAATCTCCTCATTTTAACTCAATTTATAACAAATGGGAATTCCAGGAAGCTAAAGGAGATCAAAGTCTGACAGGCCTACGCAAATCGCAATATTAGAAAGAATTCGACGCCCGCGTGCAGCACTGCTCAACGATCAGATCGTGCCGTTCTCACTCAGAAGGGTGGGCGCTAGAAGCTATCCCGACTCGCTCACGTTTCCAAAACTTCAAACCTCTGTGTAATAATGAGAACAATGAAAACTGTTCAACAATTTGGCATTCAAGAAAACAGAGCAATATTTTTGGCCCATCGCAGAGTGTAAAGTGTCATTCAATAAACTCAACAAGAAGTGTAAAACACACAGAACACACATACTTTCCTCATAGAGGTGAGTAATAAGAAAATACAAAATATAGAAAATACAACAATGATGAAAGCATAAGGTGAGGCTGCCTTGACCGCTCGGAAGCCCACTCACCATTACTTGATAATAAATATTCTCATTGAAGATTTTTTTGCTGCCAATCCTAATCGGAACGTCCGTCGGACTCTGCAAAGAGTCACAGATATTTCACATGCAAAGAATGGAAGCCGAATTATTGCCACGGACAAAGTGATTAATTATCAGAAGCAATCACTTATTCGTACTTTGCTCATTGTCTCCAGTTCCTTCTCCAACGCCTGCCTCTCGGCGCTCCCTTTTTTATACTCCAGTGCTGGCTCGTTTGTCACATTTTTCATGAACTGTTCGGATGTCAGTCCACTAAAATGGAAGGAATAACAAGAAAGAAATGAAGGTATGGCGGGGAACTGGTCACCTGAAGGTTGATACTCCTCTATGGAGACTGCAAGTGAAGGAACTCAGCCTCCTAGCTAGCATTATGAAAAACGAAAGAAAGAACTACAAAAAGCGGTAGGAGCCAAGCGAAAAGCTGAAACGAAGAAAAACCTTTTGAACTGCCTTGAGAATGCCACACTTTTATCAGCACCCGGGAAAAAATTTGCGACTGTGAGAACATAAAAACTCACAACGAGATTTTGTTTACAAAAATCGATCAGGCTTGTTTTGAAAGGAAAGGGTCAAACCAGTTTTTTGCGCAACAATATTCATATAAACACATATGCTTATATATTTATATAGGCGTCTTTATGTTCATTTCTGCCGAACACCACCCTCTCTCACATTGAAATTACACGAAGTTGCAAGTGATTAAGAGAGCTTCGAAACCCTCAAGAAAAGAAATGCATTCTGGTAAACTATTAATATTTGAAAAAATACTTGCAACATTTCATGTCCAACAGTCTCTTACCTTTCTTGCCACAATCTTCAAACAATTGAATAGAAAATGAAAAAAACTTACTCCGAAGAGTGGGAGTATATTTTTCGAGAAAAATTGGGAGTTAATGCCGCAATCTGTAGGTATCACTCTTGATGGGACAAAACTAGGGCGAAAAAGTTGAAGTGATCGACATAGAAACTATCGTGCACTCTCTACAATCTCGAAGAGTATGATTATGTATTGTAGTTTACGGTCAGCTGACTGATGAACAGTTCGAACATTAAAAAGCATACCAGCCTATTTCTATTAAAAAACAGAAGAGTTCAAGGATGCTGCGAAATCAAGAGGAAAATCGATCCACAGAAAAAGCGGAGCAATAAAAGTGCCTTCAAAAACGACAGCGGCTGGTAACCCTACCAGTTCCTTCTGCACACTAGCACCGAATGGTGCCACTTTTCCTGCCACCACTGTCTTCGCAGAAGGTAGGCAACACGTGACATGGCAGAAGGGGAGAATGTGATAGATGACTTTCAAAGGTGTCATTGTAGAACGGCCATAAAAGATGGAACGGTGTAAATTGTAAATTCAATTCAGCATTGAAAAAGCATGGGAGACAACGATCCACGTGAAGAAAAAAACGAACTAGAAAGGAGAAGCTTCGTTTCGACTTTCAAGAGACCAACCTCTTTTTCTGAAAAGGCCTTGAGCACACGTAAATCAATGCTCTATTGGGAAGTGAATATAGGCGATAATCTTTAGACAATCCGAAAATGGAAACAAATCGTTTCTTTCCGAAGGATAGTTACTGAATAGGGGAGTGTTTAAGAGAACAAGAAGATCAAATGCTATTGCAGCCAGCTGTGCACCTACTGTTCCGCGAAAGTGAGAAAAAGATTCTCGCATGTATGAGAATGAAACGATCCTATCATTTGCGTCTTGAATAAAAAAAAGATAGATGCACAGGAGTGGAGAACGGAGTTCAGTCACGGTTTGGCCTCTTATCGGCCATTTTATGACAGCAGCTATGATTTAGCACGCAGCAATCATTTTGAGACATTTTGTAAAGAAAAGCACGCATACCTGTCTCATACATTTTGCAGACCAGCTCCGTAGCAGAAGTGCTATCCAGGTTCTTCTCAAAATTCTGAATCAATTTTTGAAATTTCTGAAAAACTGACTGATTAATGCAATAAGATTGACCGCTTGACATGCGTCACTATTCGAGTTTCCATCGATTTAAGTGCTATTTGTAATTCTTCATTCAAGCTCTGGGGCAGAAACCTTCCCCGAGGCTTCCAACTTCTGACAAAGTCAATAAGGCCGAGGCATTAGCTAGATAAAGTCTTAACACCACCTCGGTGGTGGCGGCACAAGGCACTACCGAAAATTGAAGTGACACTGTACCCCAACCTCACTTACGAATTTCCGTGAGAACTACACTTCTTTCGCTCTAATGGAAAACTGCTTGTTTTTGGTCTTCCAGTTGAAACCCTCTCATGATATTTTTTAACGGCAATTTAGTCAGCAAACTCTTAAGGTGGACATTTTCTCAGAGGCATTTTCGATTACTCGCACCACGAATCAATGAGCGTACATGGAAGCCTGTTTTGGAGTTGAAAGCTGATGTTATCTCTATATGCTCATTCAGATAAACAAGTTTTTGTCTACGCAAAACATTGAAAACCCTCAGATTCAGCTCTAAAAAATAAACCAAACCATCGTAAAAGTTCTACGTTGTCCCTTGAGATGTTCAAAAATAGAAGTTAAAATGTAGCTCCCACGTCAAGTAATCTATAGGACGCATTCACTGAATCTATTGCCAGCAATTTTGGAAATTTGACCACCTGCAAGTAAGAAGCGAGGTGTCTATCGCTCACCTCCTTGTTCACACTTATACTGTAAATGTAGCAAATGTGACTACTTTGATTTGCTAACTACAAACGTGACCTCATGAGTCATATATGTAAAGATTTACCAAACCGGTCAGTCATTACTGAAGAAAAATCGCTTAAAATTCGTTGGTTCTCCAAAAATTGGGAATTAAAATCTCAGGTGGTCTACACAAGCTGCAAAGTTATTTGAAAAAAAAAAAA